TTCCATAGAAATCAAATGTAGAATAGAGAAAGCAAGATCTGCATTTCAAAAAATGGCTAAGTTATTCAAATGTCATGATTTATCAATGCCCATAAAAATCAGTTACTACGATGTTACATCTTTCCTATACTGTTGTACGGAGTTGAGTCATGGACTCTCACAGACGCCACCTGCAAGAAAATTGAGGCTTTTGAAATGTGGCTTTATCGTCGCATCCTGAAGATATCGTATACCGACCACGTTACTAATGAGGGTGTTCTGTTGAGAATGAAAAAAGAAAAAGAGCTGTTAACCACAATAAAAACAGCCAAAATCGAATACCTCGGTCACATCATGAGGAACAGCGAAAGATATGGACTGCTGCAACTAATCTTGCAGGGAAAAGTAGAAGGAAAACGGGGACCAGGAAGGCGAAGGATTTCCTGGCTGAAAAATCTACGAACGTGGTTCAACACAACAACCACAAATCTTTTTAGAGCAGCAGTGTGCAAAGTGCAGATTGCCATGATGGTCGCCAACATCCGAAACGGATAGGCACTACAAGAAGAAGAAGATAGGGAAATGAAAGCAATCAAAAATAAGAAAGCACCGGACACCTGGAGGCATCTCACCTGACTTATTAAGTACGACTCACTGTCGTACAAAAAAATTACACTGAATGATAAAATGGATATTTCAGAAAGCCATAAATGGAGAACAACTCCCAAAGGAATGGACAGAGGCATATATGACTATATTTAAGAAAGGAGATAGGAAACGATGTTACAACTACAGAGGAACAAGCGTAATATAATCAATAGGAAGATTATATGGCCAAGATACTGCGAGAAAAGATAGAGCAAGCGATAACAAGCAAAAATCGGGGAGGAAGATCATGCATAGACCACATATACACACTGGAACAACTTTGGAAATAGAAAAAAAAGCAAAAATAGAGATATACATTTGGCATTTGTGGACCTGAGAAAGGCGTACGACTCTGTACCAAGGTAAGAACTATGGGAGGCAATGTACAAATTAGAAATACAGACGGAACTCATAGAAGCTACAAAAGCTCTGTATAAAGAAAATAAAGTGTCCATTAAATGGGAACAAGAATCATAGGAGACTTCACACAACAAAAGAGCTCCTGCAGGGTTGTTCCACATCTCCAACCCTATTCAAAATATACTTGAAAAAGCCTTGACTACATGGAAAAGAAAATGCGAAGGCATGGAGTACCGGTACGAACGAATACCTATATACGTTAAGCTTTGCAGACGATCAAGTAGTGATTGCACAAGACCAAGAAGACCTCAGTTACATGATGAAGAAACTACAAGAAGAATATACCTAGGCTGGCCTAGATATTAACCTCGCGAAAACAGAGTACCTATCTACAAGTGAAGAAGACATAGAAAATCTACAGATTGACGACAACGTAACAATCAAGGAAAGGATAAATTCAAATACTTGGGGTTTATAATCACGAAAAAGGCAACAACAGAGGAAGAAATTAAGCAAAGATTAGGACAACAAGAACAGCAATCGACAACTTAACTCAGTATGGTGGGATAGACACCTAAATATGAAGACAAAAACACAGATTTATAAAACATTAGTGCGAAGTATATGCGGGCTGAAAATTTGATTATAAACAAGAAAACAGCAGTAAGATAGTAGCAACAGAGATGGAATGCCTGCGAAGATGCTGCAGAGTAACAAGAATGGATAGGAGAAGTAATGACGAAATAAAGCAAAGAACATCGAATGAGAAACAGACATACTAACATATATAGAACAAAAAAGACTAAAGTGGTATGGGACATGTAAGAAGAACTAGCGACAGCAGATGGATAAAGAGAATAACCGAATGGAGCCTCCATAGGAAGGAGGAAAAGAGGACGATCCCGAAGATCCTGGAGGAACGAAGTAGACGACGCCATGAGTAAGAGAGGCCTAAACGATGGAGAATGGGACAACAGAGAGATGGAAACGGTTGAGCGAGGGAAGGCAGTGAATACTGTAGAACCCCTGAATAATATAGTTCCGAGTACGATTTTAAAATGTATGGATATAGAAAAAAAAACAAATAAATGAGATTAGGGCAGCTAAAGGAGATGAAAAAATGGACATGAAAATCTTAGACAAAGAAGACAGTATAGAGAACGAAAATATCGTATAAATGTAACATAGATGTCAAACAGAAAAAAAACAGCGAGAGCTCCGATGAAGACAATCCAATAAAACCTTGATATTCATAATATTCAGATCAAACAGAAAATGAAATTTCTGTTTGATCTGAATATTAATTGAAAATAGACATGGAAAGTGAAAAAGAAGTTAAAGATCAAGATGAAAATATGACCGATAAGGCAATATCTGATAAAATGACAGTAAAATATTGGATGACGTTCAGCTATAGATGATACAGTTGAAAACAACTTAAAGAGTTGCGAAAAAGAAAATGACAATGTTGAAAATGGAAGACCAGAACAAGAACTAGAGCAAACAGAGAATGAAAATTCCGTAATAAGTAGAAATTAAACAATATCAAATTAATATCACAATAATCACAATGTAAAATCTAGTAAGTATGGAAAGATAAGGAAGATGGAACAGAGGACGAAGGTGTATACAGCAGATGACAGTTCGCAGCTGGAAGGAGAATACTGAAACCGAGGAAAAGATAGTTAAGATGTATTAATAGAGTAAATGTAGTGAACCACAGATAGAAGATTCTATTATTATAATAAGAAGAACAGAGCCGAAATAAAGATACAGGACAGCAATTAAAAGGAGGACAATAGAGAAAAGACAATGGAGAAACAGACAATGGGGAAAATAGATGCAGCTATGATCTACGAAAAAAAAGCTGAGAAGACATAAAAAATTAGAATGTCATGATGGACCTTAGAGCACAGTAAAGTGGGGCAAAATATATACGAAAGCTATTGATAGAAAATTACATATAATCCTAGTCGGATTATTACAGGATGGCCGAATGTAGGATATCAAATTATTACTTTTTATTATTTAAGTTGCTTGTACAATTTTATTTAATCTTATCTGTTATGCCACTGGACTGCATACTAGTATAAACACATGTGGCTTAAAAAGTAACGAATTTTAATTAAGTACCAGATAAAACAACCTTCATTCATGTGTTAAGTACCGTAACAATGGTGCAGTGTTCAGTGGGTACAGTGTTCAAAAGACAATGGTGTTTTTGGAATAATATTTAAAACGTAATTACATATGGTCATATAAGAGTGTTTAAGACGGAATTATTTCAAATTCATTTTATTCTCAAGAACAAGTAACTTTGGTCGCAATATTTCACAATCAATTTTCACATTTGTTCGTAATTTAGTAAATAATTAATATACAGGAAACTACACGCAACCATAATTTAAGTAATTGTCTATTTTTCTAATTAAAAAACTTTTAACATCGCACGGATTTTTACTTCACGTGTCGTCCAAAAATCCTACACATTACGTAAACAAAAACACCAATTAATTAAGACGAAATTTATATTGCAATAAAATGATATTCATATTTAAAAAAAAAACTAGGATTATTACAATAATTAAAACGGAGATAACAGCTATCAAATCTCTGAGAAATAACAAGTCTCCGGGAATCGATAAACATTTACTGCCGAAAATACTTAAAAAACTGATTCGCATTTAACTGCTGAACTTTTGCTCCCCTTAATTCCGAAAAGGTGTGGGAAACAAACCCGCATTCAAACGGGCATGAAAAAGGGGTAACATTATTAAGCTTCCAAAAAAGGACAACCTCACACTGTGCAAAAATTGAAGAGGAATAACTTTGCTTACCGCAATAAATAAAAATCTTCACGACCATCACACTTAAAAAATTAACAAATAACAAATTTCGAGCTGGGTCACATTACTGTGAGGGTAATAATGGAATAATCGGTTGAATGAACACACCCCTATACACCCCATCACACATAAAATAATTTCCATTATAAAGTCACTGTACACTGAGGCGAAATGCAGCGTGACACACAATGGAATTAACAACGACGAATTTGACATACATGCTGGAGTCAGACAGGAATGCATGCTTTCTCTGTTTCTTTTTAATATAGTAGTAGACTATGTTCTCTCCAAACTAGACTCCGATGCCAGAGGGATCCAAAATATGTTAACCTGCCTTTTTAGGACGTGGCTGATGTGGCGGATCAATTAGAAACACTTTCCACTGAAGCCAATAAAGTAGGTTTGAAAATCAATATTATTAAAAACACAATCCATGAGAGTAAATGCAAGAAAGAACATGCTATATACTGTCAACAAACATGCAGATTGAAAATGTGGAAAACTTTACATATCTTGGAAGAGTCATAACAGAAAGCAGAGGTACAGAGGTAATATTCGCATGAGGATACAAAAAGCTCAACAAGCATTCAGCATGCTCAACCCTGCTTGGAGATCAGGCGAGTATACTACAAGTCATATTTCAGTCAAATGTCATGTCTGTTCTACCTCTACAGATGTGAATCCTGGAAAGTGACAAAAATCCTTACAGATAAACTGTTCTCTAGAGGTCTGAGGTCTTTATTTGTTATAAATTGTTCATATTTTCTGGCCTAAACATCATCAGAAATGAAGATCTACTATACCTGACCGAACAAAAAAGGGTAGAACATCAAATAAAAGAAAGTGGGGTTGGATTGGTCACACACTCAGAAAAAAATAATTCCAGTATTTCTAAGACTGCTATAGAGTGAACTCCCCAAGCAAGAAGAAAAAGAGGTCACCTAGAACAAACTTGGAGAAGATCCATCATGGACGAGATAAAAGGTCAAGAAACGTCTCTTGAAATGAGGTGAAGACTATAGCGCAAAATAGAACCCGATGGCGCGTTTTCACTGAAGCTCTATGCTCCACTTAGGGGTTCAAGAACCTTATAATATAATTCACTTTAAATTTGTATTCGTTAATTAATATAATGACACTGAAAATTATAAATTTAAAAATACTCACGTTTTTTACTTCTCCAACATCTACAGAATACTGCCTTATCAGCAATATCTTCTATATCAACAGAGTCAACAACTTTGTCACTCTGTTTGAGTATTCCAGGATTAACTGCACTGCAACCAGATTTTGATCCACAACGACCTTTTGGACAAAATGCTTTATATGACATATAAGTAATACCTGCTACTACAGCTGCTGGAGGAACAAGAGCTACTATATCCTTTACTGAAACGAAAAAGGGATCAATTTAAATGGATAAAGTTTTGGTGATAACATCAATATAAACTATAGAATACAAGTTTTGACAATACTGACTCCTACAATATATTATACAAACATGAAATTAACAAGAATATCAACAGTTTAGCTATCAATATATCAACATCTTGTATTATCATGCAACTATTAATTAAATTAATTTGCGGAATTATTATATTGTATTCATTTATATAAATTGGAAATAAGTGGCAGTTGAAAAGTTCCCTAATAAAATTGTAATATCTAGTCGAAAACCAGGTAATTATTTTGCAGTCAGAGGCAGATATTTCTAATAATGAATTATGTAAATTTGAAAGAAATTTGTTCACCTGTATAACGAAACAGGGTTATACGGGCAGGCGAGCCATACCCAGAAAAAGGTTAGCTGCACAAAAGAAGATGAGTGCACCAGGTTTTTAAAAAAATAAAGACTGGATAACAGTGTTGTGCTGTTCAAATTCGTCTGGAATCCATAGAATGAAGCTGACTAATTGAAAAATCAAAAAATCCTTGCTCGTTTTAAAACATGAAACCACAGAATCTTCCAGTTCACTATTATAACCAGAAAGCTGCCTTGATAACTTGTAACATCTTTTAAGATTGGTTCCATAAAAACTACATTCCTGAAGTAAAGTCTTATTTAAAGAAGGAACAGTTGCCACAAAAGGGGCTTCCTTTTCTGCATAATGCTGGTACTAATCACAATGGAATAAAAGAAACTTTCAAAAGGGATTTTTACAAAATAATAGTGTTAGAAGATGAAAGCAACTCCGCCTCTGGTTGTTGCTGGGTGAATTTAGTAGTTTTGCAAGTATAAAGAAGCAGGGTTTGCTCCAGGAAGGGCATCCTCGTTGGAACGGTAATAAGTCAAGAGATCTTGGAGATGGACGCAAGTTAAATAGTTTCGGCAGAAATGCAGTAGGTATTATTTTTAACAACGAATGGAAGGAACATTTTATAATGGTAACCAGAAGAAATATGTGCCTACGCTCCACAGGTAGGGTGTGGAGAGCAGGAATAGGAAGAATTTGGGAGGGCCCTTAATTGCAAGATGATTGAGATTCCTATAGATGAAAAGTGTTTTATTGGAGGTGATTTGAATGTACATATTGGTAGAGAAAAAGTGGAAATAGAAAGAGTTCATGGAGGTTTCTGGATGGGAATAAGAAATGATGAAGGAAATGTGATTGACCTTGCAGTGGCATGGGATTTGGTTGTCATTAATACATTCTTTATGAACACTGAAGACCAGTATGTTAGCAGGGAAGGAAAAGTCGGATAGATTTTGTGATGTGTAGAAGAAGTCAGCTAAAAGAGATTACCAAGAGATGAAGGTGAGGCAAAAAGGAAAGCAAGAAGGTCACCAGAAAGTAAAGTGGTGGAAGTTGAAGCAAAGTAGCAAAGAGGAAAGTAAAGCTTGCTGTAGCTATTGCTAAGGAAATATCCTCTGCACAGCTGTATGAGTTGGAAACACCTGAGGGAATGAAAGGGTTATACAGCATTGCTAAAGCAAGGGACAATTCATCAAAAGATTTGACCCATGTGTGGATGGAAGAGTGTTAAGAACAGATGTTGAAATAAAGCAAAGAAGGTATGGGTACTTTAGAAAGTTGCTAAATTAAGAACAGCAGAGGAGAGACAGAGGATGCGGAATCCCAAATGAGAATGTAATACCAGGGATAGATGAAGTTGTTGAGGTGTTAAATAAGATGAAGAATGGTAAGGCAGTAGGACCTAATGGAATACCTGATGTAGGTTAGGAAGGCTCTAGGAGAGGAAAGGGATGGAGGGATGATATCTTATCTTTACATAATTACTCTGTATTTTTCAATATCTTAATTTCAACAATAATGTTTTAATACATTTTTCTAAATTCTACAAAAGTTCTGCTCTTTCCTTTCTTTCTATTAATATTATCAATTTAAAAAAATACTGACATAGAGTAAGGGGGTTTTCAAAATTGATTTTTTCTTTTAAAAATTATGTATGTATTTATATATACTACTACTCCTATATTAAGACATTTTTAGTATTCATAATTTAACTAAACTCGTTTTTACACATATTATCTTTCTATTAGTATTGTTTACTGCTTATTGCAAAGTCTAATCATTCAGAAACAAGGACATCTACTAGATATGTAAAATGTCACAGTTTAATATTAGATTAGTGTAAAAATAAAATTTTGGCATTTACTAGCATTGTGAAACCAAATCCTATTTTTTAGAAAAACGTTAACTACTTAAACTACAGTACCATAGGCACATAACATACACAAGTGATGGACAACGAAAATCTATGTACTTACATCCTAATCCGAACCATCCTCCAATCGTATCGGGTATTGGTAAATTAGATAAATAATTCGGAAGAGCTTCTTTTACTAAATAGGCTATAGGTTGCATTTTAAAAATATCAAGTTGGCACGCTTATTAGTTTGATTCAAGTTAGAAAAATCTCTATTGACAATGGCACACTTTCAAAATCGCAAATGTCAGAAGTCAAAACGTTGTCAGAAATACCGAAATACTTCCTTCCCCTTCCAGAATCAGATGATATTTGTCAATTGTGTTGCCTATGTAGTAGCAGATAAGAAAATTAAAAAATTTGCGTGTTCTGAAAGTAGATAAACATTACTGTATTTTTTAGACTCATAGATTTGTATATTTATATTATCTATGAGGCATCACAGATGTAAGTCGAAACATAAAAGCCTTAACTTAAGACTTAAAACTAGAAGAATATTTTCTTTTAGTCTAAAAAAATAAAATAACGCGTTTTTTGCATCTGCCTATTCTGTCTAGGACATAGATAAATAGTATAATATTAAAAAGTCTAGGATTAGAGTATAACCACAGAATAAATAACAATAACCACTGGTCGTAACTGTCAAAGTAAGATTAACAGAAGTCACCAGAAAACTACAAAATTCAAAGGCAGTAGGTAATATCAAATATGTAATATTCATCGAGTTAGGATCTAACTCGATGGTAATATCAAAGAATATAGCGCTTAGCTAAGAATATAGACGCTAAGCGTCTATATTCTTTGGTAATATTATAAAAACAGAAGTCATACTACACAAACAACAACATGAACATGACAATCTTGTAATGGTACAGGGGGCGTGCAGTGAAATTGTAAATAAGGGAAGCAATTCATAAAAAAAATTGTAAAAACTGACCTATTTATAACGTAATTCAATTCTTCTACCATTTTTTCGCAAAACTTGTCTATAAATTCTTTGTAAAAACGTGGATATTGTGACCAGTAGTGCACCTATAGCGCACCTTCTCTTTGGGGGAAGGGGGGTTTTGGTTGGGCAATGATTTTTTTATGATTCTACATTCATTTTAAGTTTTTAAAATTGCGAGTAACAGTGTCTCCTGGGGGGGGGGGGTTAACCCCAATACCCCCCTGGGTGCGCCACTGATTGTGATATTTCTTTAATCCGATTATTTTCAATTGCTAAAGGAAACAAATTAGAGAGTCGATCTTATTCCGTCGAGTTTCGCAAGTAAGTCTTTATTCTTTTTAGAGTGTTAGGTTCTACACAGACACTAGTAGCTGGAATGGTCAGTTCTAACTCGCATTATTTTACTCCGAATATGCTTTGTTCAAGAAATTGTTTTTAAAAACATTGAGAACTCACTGGCATTATTTTTTGTGTTAATGTGCTCAGTTTCGTATAAAGCTGTTAGTTCCGAACGTAATGAAATTAAGACAAATTATTGTCCATAAAGACGTACTTAGTAAAGATTTTATTTGGTTTTCAGGAAAATGTGTTTTTTTTAAAATTAATTAAAAGTGCACAGCTCAAGAAAATCTAGGTCATCAAAATTCTTAAACCTATTTTCCCTTGTTGGTATATTTAATTTAAATGTGATAATATAGTGGGCAGCAGCACGATTCAATATCTCAAACATTATCAGTGCGTATGAGTTTCCTTTAGGATCAACTTCTTGCCATCATATTATTATTATTTCAACATTTTTCACTCAGCTCTCTTTTTATACTAACATCTTTAAATTCGGTAAGTTTTTTACACATAAACCAATATCATTGATCTTGTATTGCAATACGTTAAGGCTGTTTTAGCAGTCAAAACACACTGCGATTTGAAATGGGCGTATCACTTACTTTTCCACACTGCCTACGCCAGCCGACGACGGGTACAGCTGTTTTCGCAGTGGGCGGCCGACCGGCGGGTGTTTAATGACAACAAATGCATTATTCTTTATTCAAATTACTTTTTGTCAGGAATACCTTTTTTGTTTGATTATCGTAGATGTCAAATTTAGTTGGGTTAATGTTATTGTTTGTCCAAATGTCACATGAAATCTTATGTGGTGTTTATTTATAATAAATTTAAAATAACATAAAAATATTATTATCAAAAAAATACAATTTGTTGTCACAAACAAATAAACAATTTCGCATTTATAGCTTGAAAATGATTTCAAATCAAACTAACTGACCGTACGTTCATGAGATTTGATGTCACGCAGCCGATAACGATGAAACTATATGCCAATGATGAGTAACACGTTTCACTATTAAATTTCAGTATTTTTTAGCAATTTTCTTCAAAGTTTGAACACGCTTTTCTCGATTATTACTGGACATAAAAAGGTGAAAAAAAAAATCAACGATTACAGAAAAAAAACTCTTTCAAGTGATGGGCGTAAAAAGTTTGGTTATAATAGAACGTTAAACTGCATAATCCGATATTTCAAAAGAACTTTCAAAAAAATTAAAAAAGTAAAACCATCAGTTTAAAGGCAACATAATTTTGAATAACGTGTCCAAATTTCGAGACATTTTGTCGGTAAATAACAGAGAAAACACTGTATCTAGGTTTTTGGTGTACCGATAAAACAGCCTTAAATAAATTATCTGAGAATAGAAATATTTCATAAAAAAGCGAGATTAATAAAATAAAATAAGAACCATTTTTTAAAATATCCAAAAATCCTCTCGAGCTATTTATGGTTTCTGTATCCCAACTTTTCACCATTCTCCAAAACACACTTAAAGAATTCAATTAAAGAATCGCGGTATTCTAAGACTGTTCATACTAGCCCGCCGTTGTAATTCCATCGCGTCACTGCAACTTTTGGTAGTCTTCGCTTTACAATTATCTAAAGCTTGAGTACGTTTAGATAATTTAGAAAAGGAAGAAGCCATTCCACTTAAAGGTGCAAAAAAACTTTGCATTATTTGATCTGTATGACCGCTTGGGATAAAACAAAGTTGAATTTGAGGGCATCAACAAATAGACCATCAGATAATAAGAACAATTAATGAAATTAACAAGAACGACAAGACCAGAGTTATAATGCCAACAGGAGAAACAGAATGCATAGATCTAAAAGGAGGAATCCGCCAAGGAGATTCGCTCAGCCCATTGTTATTCAATATGGTGATAAATCAAATCATTCTCGAAGTAAGAAAACGACACGGATACCACATGATGCCACCAGGCCCGGCTCAAGACGAAATTTTCACCCGGGCAAGGATCTTTTGAGTCGCCCCCCCTCCTAGTAAAAACCCCTATAAAAACAACAACAATCAGCTGTTTTTAAGTTTGCAACACTTTTTGAGTAACTGCTGATTTTAAGACCTTTGATAGCCCCACTGTAAAATGTTCCTGTTAAATCAACACAGCATGACATCACAGGATGTTAACATCTTTTGTGTGTGTCATATGATATTGACACCGTCCGTGTGTAATTTGTACACCAACTGTGTGTTATATTGACACCGTATGTGCATATGACACACAGACGGTGTCAATTTGACACTCACAAAAAGTGTGTAATACCATATAAACGTAATTGGATAGTAATCAACGCCATTTTTTACATAAGCGTTGTATATTTTGCACAGTGTCAGTTAAAGAAACATAAGACTTTGGACACAGTTTGACGTAAAGTATATTTACATTATATTTAAAAACATTATATAAAGAACAATGAACAATAGCCTGGTGTCAATGATGTAATGATGTAATTTAGTCTGTTAGGCTTCTGTAAGTATTGCAAGTCTAGTTTACAAAGGCAACTTTACGAGCCTTTTTTTCAGCAAAGTCCTTAATGATGTTGCTTAAATCAAGTCGTTGTAATACATCATATTCTATAGACATAAGTGCCAGTCCTACTAGCCGTTCTTGGGACATAGTGGATCGTAAGTAGTTTTTAATTAACTTAAGTTTAGAAAAGCTTCTTTCTCCAGATGCAACACTTACTGGAAGAGAAAGAAGAATTCTTAGAGCTACACAAACGTTTGGAAAGTTCTCACTTAAAGAATGTGATGAAATAAATTTCAAAATGTCCTTTGGTTTATCTCCACAATCGTCGGGTAGAACTGTTTTGAGCACTAAGAGTTCCTGATACATCTGGTGTCCTTCAACATCACGGTGCTCTCCATCAGTTAGAGATATCTGCAGGTCTGCACATTTAGTCATTAGAGTATTGATGTCTTCTCTTTCAGTTTGTAAAGAAATCCAAACGTGTCATTGTGGGTGGATAACTGAGAAAATCTCTCTTCAAGTGATGCGATTGTTGTGTCCAAAATGTAGAGGTAACATTTACTTCTGAAGTTTACTTTTGGATCCACAACTGCTTCATCTCGTACCTCATCATCAAATTGGCGCTTGACTCTCCTTGGTCGAACTTGTTGTTCAGAAGGGAAGGATGGTTCAACTTCAAGGCTTTCTGCTACTTCTCGAGCATCAACAAGCATTTCTTCAAACCCCTTGTCACTTCTTATTTCATTAAAGTAGGACTTTACAGAAGCTATCAGTTCCATAGCGGCTGCAATATCAAAATCTTCTTTTTGTAGCAGCTTACTGATCACATTTATCCTCGAGAGAATTGTACTAGTTGACTGTGAGGAACAGAAGACTTTTTTAAGTTCAAAGACTGTTTTCATTTTCCTTTGCCTTTTCAATTTTCCTTTTTCTATAAAATGCTCCAGACGGTTTCGGTTTATTTTTACCATCTGCCATGACGTTTTAAATCAAACCGCACCATATAATGCACTAATACAATTTATTAACCGTCCGGCGCCCTCCCTATTTGAAATAATATAATATTTTCAATACGTATAATACAGAGTCTGCACGGACACAAACAGAATGTAGGTTGTAGATAAATAGGTGCTATCGATCACGATCATTGATTGCTATTCAAGAACAAGAAGATGCGACTGCGAGACTGCCACTGCCAGAGTGCTTGGGCGAGTCCATTAGGTGAGCCAGAGAGGGGTAGCCGCTTTGCGGAGGAAGTGGTAGCAGGCTTACGAAGTTGCGCTTGTCGTCTGCAACCCTGCGTGGAGTCTGATCAGCTGATCGTGCCGACTGACTGTCGCGCTGCTTTCTTGACTCACGACTAGCGGAAGAACGAAAGGTGAGAGGTTAGGTTCCGAACGTCCTTTGCGATATTTATAATATTTCGGCTTACTTAAGTTACCTACCGATTGGTTTGCCATTAAAACTATCTAGTATTTGGTGTATAGCCATCGTTGTTATTATTAAAAA